TTATGAAGCCCTAAATACACAATGACAATAAATCATATTGCCGCTGCTCACTTAAGTTGATACACTCATTACAGTCATAGCAAATAAAATATCTAAGGTGAAAGTGCGCAGGGCGGTCGTTATATTTCTAATGCACTACACAGAAGAGATACTTAAAGAATCTGTATATTTGTTTCATTATTCTCAATCAGAACAAAACTACTCAACTTTTTAATTAAAAGGTAATATAATTTTATTACAAGAATAATTCTTATTTTGCAAATGGATGTTAATTAGAATAATGCCAACTAAAAAATCACATTATCTTATATAATAGGCCAATTGTAAACATTGAATTAGCCTCTCCAAACCATATAATTGTTGTAGTAATATTAGGGTTCCGTTAGAAATTTCTTTTGAAAATTAATAGCAAATGTACAATAACATAGTATTTCACATTAGTCACATTAGTTATCCTCTGGAATCGTAACTTATGACGTCGTGATTCCCGTATTGATGTTCATGTACATAAGCAATATTTGTCAGTATGCAACAATTTTATCAGATGAGTTACCAGCTTGAATGTCATACAAAATACAATAAAACGTTCTCTAAAGTTTTATCATCATGGTCAGAAGGGTCAGAGAGATTGTAAAGAACTCAGAAGGAAGGAAGGATTCTTTTTTTAGGGATGATAATGAAATGGTGGTGGACCACCAGTGGACGGTGATAAGATGAACATGAGGTTAGGTCAGTTAGCCCATCGTGACAAATTTAACAAGAATTTATCACGATGGTTTCCAGGGGGAACCGCGAAACAGGTTAACTCTTGAGGCCAACATCCATGGTTCCTATAATTGAGCTGAACTGAAGAGCTATGGTAAACATCCTCGAACAAAAACCAACTCCTTGAGACATAATAAAAAAATACAGAAAAATAGATAAATATATTCCAATGGATTCAGAGAGATCGGAAAGACTATTAAGACGGAAGAAAGGATTGTCACTGTACCATTATGAAAGACGCATGTAGTTACCGCTCACAAAAAAAGGTAAAAGCGGAAACTGGTCTACTCTTGATGTTAACATCCATATGTCTAGTTCTCATGAAGGCATTGTCTGAAAAGCTGTGGTAAACAGCCTCGAATAATAGCGAAGTCTCAAGGAGTTATACCTAAGAATATGATCCAGAAATATAAATAAAAATATTCCACTTAATAAAATTAACATTAAAAAACGTACAAAAAAGCTTTCCGTGAATGTCTGTTTGTCCATATCTGCCGTCGACAGGCCACAGAGCCGTCCATTACCGGATAGGTATTTTCCCTTTTTCATATTCGACAATCTGATAGAAATCACAAAGAACGATGATTTTTCTTTACGATTTACATTTTCTATTTATAAATACTTAACAGGATTAATGTATGTAATATCATTAATGTATTATGTATTACTAGCTTAGCCGCGCATTTAGATAATATCTTTTTAATTTATAGCCTAGGAGTTATTCTGATGTACGACTGTAAGCTTTATTAATCAAATTCTGTTTAGTAGTTTTTGCGAGAAAGATTAACAAACATCCATCCATCCACCCAACTTTCGAGTTAATAATATTAGTAAGATTAATAAATTATCCATACACATTCCAATATATTATATAATATTATAAATTCGAAAGTGAGTCTGTTTGTTTCACGAAGAAACTGCTGAACAAATATATATATAATAGATTGACATTATTTTTAATTTTGATAAAAACAGACTAAGTAACAAGTTTGTTTAATACCCGAAGGTCCGCGATACAATTTATTTCTGCTATTTGAACTCTACGACTAAACTGAACGCACGGTTAGTGTTATGTAAACAGACACTATTATACGCGAAAATGTATTTATTTGCTATGTTTATTCTGTACGAAGTTGTCGTGTGTACATTACACGATATAGACCTATTGATCGATTTCGATGATTATTTTTACAATCAATAGGATTTATTTTTATTTGATGGTCTCGGTGGTCTACCCGTTTACATCACCGCCTTATTTCGGACGGTGGCCGGATAGATTCCTCGCACGGGACACAAACATTTATATTCATGACTACGATTGTTTTTATCGATCTGGGTGTTTACTACAAATATTATGTATGTATTTACAAAAAAAATATTTAAGCATTTGTATCAGTTGTCTGGTATCTGGTCCATAACACAAGTTTTGCTCCGCTTCGGACAAGATGGCGCTGTGTGAATTGTCCTGAGATTCTTATTATTACTCTAGTCCCAAGATATTAGGATAACGAAAGAAAAATTTATATGTTTAATCATTTATGCACATCACATTTCATAAGTACTTGCTTACAATTTCTTGTATCCCCAGGATGTCATAAGAAACGACTGTAGGGGAATAATTTACAATACATCATTGCCAGAATGCCAAGACTTGAAATATTATTTTTGCGCCAAGTACTGTCTCGCTATACCAAACTGTATTATTAACAACGTTCTATGTAGGCCATTATTCCTTCAAGAGCCGCTCTTATAAGACGATACTTGTAGCAAGCAATTGTATGTTAATGGGTTGTGGTAAATGGATGAATTTGTTTTTTTATAGTATATGCGACAAACGAGCTTGCACATCACTTGATGGTAAGTGGTTAATTATTCTTAAACACATTACACCATTCATTAGAATGTATACAAGTTGATGGTTGATGTAGACAAGTTACGGGACGGTGATGGTAATGGTAACAGCACCAGGAATATCACTTCTTTGCTTTCTTTACTTATCAATATAACGTCCGTGGTACCTCACATGTGTTGCTATTTCGGAGAAGTAACATATCTCTGTATCCTGTAATTTTACTGCCTTATCTCACCCATTAACTGTAAATAGGTGAGCCAGAGGAAGATGATTCCGTACAAAACCATCTTTTGTAAAATACGTATTGTTCAAATACATTTCAATGGTCTCGATTATTATTTTATTATATTAGCTCTGTTATAATACTAAAATTATGAAGCATATTAAATATCTAACTGTTTCAACAAAGGCTGAGAACCCAACCAACCCAAATCCCGTTCAAGTGTTAAAACGGCGGTAAATTTCAATAAAATAATATCCATTCTGATCGTGACCCACGAAATTTAGAGAAGTGCTTTATTATGTACAGATTATTAGAATCTTAATAGAAGGGCTATTGTCGATAAATTATAAAGGTATATCATAAAACAATTTATAATTCTCTCGCTTATTATTGTAGGTACTCAATCTGTTACTGGAGCGGGAACACAACTACTATTTTAATTAAAAATTAAATACTAGTAAAAAATGTGTATTTTCTCAAAAGGCTTCCCAAAGGGCTCACAGCGAGAAAAAAGTAACAAAACAATAATTAGTCAAAAGTGACATATAAAAAATAGATATCAAAAATATAAAGTTTAAAAAAGAATGGTAAACAAGCTGCCAATAACACAATCAAAATATAACTCAAATTCCATGACTAATTCATTCACTGTAAAAGTTTTGGCTCTCAATTGAAATTAAGTAATATTGATTATATATTTTTAGATAACTTGTTACCAAAGTCTTTTTATTAAATGATATTCAATGATAATAAATTTATAATTCATTATTACTAATAATAATGAATTTACAGTTCTTTTTCTTCAATTGAAAGCAATATATATTGCAAGTAAAAAAATAGTGCTTAACTATAAAACTTATTATTAGTTTGTGGCAATGAAAAGCTTTTAGGTTTTCTTTTAGATTGCCTTAGAATTGAATAAAACATGATGAATCTACGATTGCCTCAATGGTATTAGGCAATGATAGCAAATATCACAAAGAATTTAATCACATCAATGTTGTTTTCGTACAAGCGTTTATTTTAGTACCAACTAATTTTAACATAATTTATTTTTGTTTTTATTCTCAGCAGGGCTGTAGCTATTGTACTCGTACAGTGAAAAATAAATTGTTAGAGGTACACATTTACATTTAAACTAGCTGTCCCCGCAAATGTTGTTTTGCCATATAAATTAAAAAATAGGGGTTGGTGATAGACAGATGATAATTTAGGGTTGTGTGTATTTTTAATGCCATATTATAAAAAAATAAAATAAACAAATTGTCTTTTATATTTTTAAGGGTGGACAACTTTTATCACTTATGCATAAGAATAATATATAATAGCCGATTCTTAGACCTACTGAATATGCATATAAAGTTTCATAAAAATCGGACAAACCGTTTCGGAGAAGTATGGTAACTAGCATTGTGATACGACAATTTTATATATAAGAGAGATAAAAAAGTACACAAAAAGGAACCCCCATATAATCGTATAGATTTGTTTCTGTTAGGTATAATGCAAAGAACAACCGGTGAACAGAATTATTCTGTATTCTTAAATTAATGATAGTATCTACACAAGCCTAATTTATATATAGCCTTGTTAACCTGTCCAAATTTGTGAGGTGCGCGGCATTAGATAATTATAATGTTTGTAAATGTACATATTATATAGACATACTTATTAGTAAAAACAAACAGAGTGTAAATGTGAACTTTACCTTTCTTTTTTACTAGCTTTATACCTCGTCGCTATCCGTGTGAATTCAGATAAAATGTATCTTGTGTTAATCAGATAAACGAGTACGGTGATATGATTTCATTGTGTTCAATTCTCATTCCATTTTGATAATTCTATTCAGATTCAGTAGTTTTCGCGTGAAATAGTAACAAATATGAAATATCTATCCAGTCCCACGACGACGGCGTTTCGCGTTCATAATATTAATTAACTCTGTATTAATTTTCCCGGAACATTGTTTTTTATTAATTAAAATTGCTTATGTCCTTTATGGTTTTTAATTATGATCCTAATATATCCGATAGATACACACACTTTGATATTTCTAATATAATATTAATATATATTCAATCATAGAATAAATATGACCATCATTAAAGCCAAAAAGGAAATAGAAAAGAATAAGAACATATTTATCATATACCCACTTACTTGGAGGGTAATCCCTGTAGCTGATGTCCGAATAAACAGCGAATGGAGAGGCGCAAACAATTGATATGACCCAGAGGATGAGTATGATCCTTGACGCCCTCGTAAGACCAGCCATCGCGTACAGGTGTAGCGGGTGACATATGGCCAGGTATCGTTCCAGTGAGAAGGCTGATATCGTTAGTACAGACACATATGTGGCCCTGGAAAGAAATATTTTAGTTAGACGCCATTTTATAATCAATATTTATCAATCGAATAGATTGCTTGTATGGCATTATAAAATTTAATTCGCAGTAATTTACTTCATGTCATTATTACTGTATTTATTCTATATTTAATGTCGAATTGACTCTAATATGGTATTTATCTTGCTATTTCGATGTGACTTCGTTCGTGTATGAACTGGTATCAGTTTATAGCTACATAAGATAATAATTTATTTAAACAAATAATTGTGTCAGTAACGAGAGTCTACGACATAAAACAACGTCAGAACATAGAATAAACATATTGGATGTTGGTGCCATAAAAACAGTTTTAGACGATTCTTCAGACAGTGCGGCTAAGGCAATTTGTTCGCTGTTGAAGTAATGGAGTAATTACTGTTAGGGTACAATACGACTGGCATGTACTTTTAGATTGTACAAAAAACCCAAAATAAAAAAAAAACGCTAATTTGCCTTTATATCTTAATTTTGGAATGGGCAAAGTGTTTATTCATAAACGATAATCTTTCACCAACTTAAAAAACTAGTATTATTAGAATCTACCACGTACTCACTTTAAATATTACTTAAATACTTTAAATATTAATTTTGAAAAACTTCGACATTTATTTTGAATTAAAATACAGTAATACTGAAAAAAATATTTAATTAACAGACAGTAATATAAATAGAAGTAAAATGACTTGTATTATAACTGAAATTACATGGAATAAAACATTTCATTTCATTCTAGGTAAGCCCGGCTTCAGAAGAGAGACATCCCGGTGTCATATTGTCTGATCAAAGAAATTTAATTTAGGGTTATGTCCGGAAAAGTAATGAGAATACAAAGACTATGTCATATATCCACTTTAAAGCACATATCACATTAAAATCTAAAATACTTTATTTATGTAAGTTTTGTTAACATACACTTATTATACCTAATTAGCTGAGATATTAGTGGAAACCTTGAATGGCGAATCTAAGCGAAGCCGCAATTACAACGTATAGTATGACATCGTTGTACCTAATTAAATTACTAATTTCATGCATTAAGTAAACTGATACTTAGAATAAGGAGAAAAATTTAAAAATATTATTTGTTTATTATTATGTAATATGAAAATGTAAACAAGTAAGCCACACATTTCAATCTTTATTAATAATTAATATGATCATTTCCGTGTCTAATAATTACGCTCAGTTATAGCTGTGAATAGACATCTGTTCCAAGTGTCATAAGTAATTTATGTACAATCATTATTGAGAGCTTATCTCCTCATTGTATTAAAGCTTGTACATTAATATCGTGTAAACTGAACATGACTTCTACCTACATGTATATGTTATACTAAGTTGTACATTTGTATACAGTCGTTATATATTTAGTGTAATTAATATAAATATATAGACAGAGAGAACCGAGGACCATGTTCTTTCCTTGTTTTGTCATATTGTCATAGTATTATTCATATTTTTGTGAACAGTTAATTTTTTTTCTATTTTATAGTTTTTCCTATAATTAATAAACTATATACAAAATGATATGTCTGAAGAAGAATACAGGCTAATTTTTATGTTAAAAACACTTTTGAAAGTAAACTACTATTATAGAATATGTTATAGAATACTGTATAGATATGTATATATATACCTACATATATTTATATACTATATACCAATATAGGAGCGGATTTCACGCCGCCGTTGACAGGTTTCCCCCGAGTAAACTATGAGCTATATTGTTATCTGACTTTCATTTCTTTGATATATTTCCGTGCCAGCGTTCCAAATAAAAAAATGCTATCCCTTTATTTTTTACAAGAAACTTCCAAGTAAAAATAGAGTTTAATATCCACATATTTTATCCTCCGACTGCTATACATAATCAATAGCATCTCAGCAGACTTATTCATAACAAAACAGAAACATGAGGGATGGCACAAAAAGTCGACCAAAATATTACGTCAGATGTTACGAACGAGTATGTATGCTCGTACATATGTATATAGTGAAGATACGAGCTGTATTGACACAACACGATTAACTTTATGTAAATGTTTGTTGCCTTTTACAGATTTATAAACATTAGAGTAAGCTTCATTTAAATCTAGCTCTATATTTAGATCATTGCATTTATGAAAACAAAGACTATTTACTGTATATTACAAAGTAAATTTATAAAAAATAAAATAATACTATTTACAATATGTAGCAAAACTTCATTTAAATCTAGCTCTATTTTTGTTATACGATTATAATATGATGAGATTATAAGATTTTACGATCTAATATATTTTATTATTTAATAGATCGTAAAATCTTAGTATTTACAACAAACGAGGCTGCTCCACACCTATCAGTAAGAAATTATCGCCGCCCATTATCCTTGCAAAACAAGAGAGTTTTTTTAGGAAGAGGACTTTTAGGAAGTGATGTACTCATTTCTTGGAGGTTCCAATATCTCATATTCCTATGTTCAAAGATTGTGGGTTCCACAATGTGGTTATGTATGACTAAAATTTCTGGAAAAAAGCCATTCATGCATTTCATGTACATGATCAAAAGCTTATTTTAATTTCTGATAAGTTATGCGATACTGGAATCCCCACTTCACAATGTACAAATGCATGATAACATCGCAAATAATAGTCAGCTGAATCCCATGTAATCCTCCAATATAGTTAATTAACTATATTGGAAGATATAATATTACCAAGCCCAATATTACGAAAGTGAAACTAAATATATTAAGAATTCCAGAAGTTTACCGCGTTATTAACGAATTCAGTAGGTAACATTGGTTAGGTCTTCCTTTGTGTAGGATGATGGGCACAAAGCACAAGAAGATTAGTAAACCATAATGTAAATAAATATCTCATTATTAATATATTATATATTGACGATTCTGATTGAAATTATTAATAATATGGATTAGAACTATGTTTAAAACAGCAGCAGGCAAATTTCAGAAAATGTAATATAATATCCGTTAATTATTTTAATGGAATACATCTAACTGATTGCTTGCGAATTTACAGACAAGCAGCATATTAAAGAGCTATGTACAGATCCAGAATTGACAGGGCTTGATACAATACAACCCACGTGTTTTGTGGAAAGAACTCTCGTTTATTGTTAGGCGAACTATAATATATATTCAAATTACATTGTCATCCACCAATTATTAAGCAAGTGAGAGCACTCTTGACGCGGTTAATGTAGCAAAAACACGAAGTAAAGTTGTACGTCTTAAAAGTAATTAAGTAATTGTGAAACCATCTCCCCTTCAGGAGTTGATAATTGCTTCTGGATCATGTGAACTTCAGACGTTTAGAAGTAGGGTTAGCTGCTTTCGATATGTCTTATGACATTCCCGGTGGTGTGATTTTTTTATAAACCATCGTAAGTGATATTATGATATATCATACATTATATTTACTTACATTAAAAAAAATAGACAATCTTATATAAACACGAAAGTTTGTGAGTATGGATGGATGATGGAGATGGATGAATGGATATTTGTTTGAAAGTCTTTAGATACATCAGAATAACACATATGGTGCAAATTTTATGGGAGTGAATCTGCGGGCAAAGTTAGTAAGACTATAATTCTTATGCAACTAGATTGGCAAATAAGCTGACAACTTTATAACTATCACGAAAAAAGTAACGCAGATATCACAAAATCAACAACAAATTGTGACACCTGTTGTACATAACATACGCTGCTATTTTAATATTCTAGAGGGTAAAAGAGACATAACTACGTAGAGAGTACCAGTATGTACCCACGCCAACGATTTTTATCAAAAGTCTGCTCTGGATATTGATAAAAGTTTAGAGAATCAAAAACAGAGTTAATAAATGGTATTTTAGTACAATTGAATAGATTAAAAAAAAAGTAGTTTTAAAGAGCCGCGTTTAATAAGACGTGAGTCACCTATCCGGATTATCTGGGTATACATAAGTAGTAATATATTTTCGTCTACTTCGTATACTCTTATTTATTTTTTTATTGTCATACTATATCGATATATATTTTGTTTAACGTGTGGCAAATGTTAGCCAAGATCAGCTGGCTATGGAAGGTAGTGAATGGTATATGTGGGATTATAGGACATGAGGATTTACTTAAGGACATACTAAACACCACACGAAATACTTACCTTAAGTATTTCGATCCATGACTCTACATGATCCATGACTCTACTACTGCTGTAGTAGAGTCATGGAGTCGCGTTAGTATTCTACGACTATACGTTGAAATGGTACATAGATAATTGATCCCTTCATTAGCCCTTGCTCTGTGTGTATTTGTGTTGTCATTCCTCATGTCGCATACACATGTATGTAATACGTATATATCTTTCGTCGATCCACATGAAGTGGCTGAATTTAATAGTACGTGATTTTGCATAATATGTAGGTTACAGTACGAATCAATTCTATTTTGTTATATTATTCAAAAAAGTTAATTTTAAAGCAGATAATCGCGGAAAGTCTGTCGTAGCTTTTGTTTTTAATCCTTTTTTATAAGAATATTTGCTTTTAGAGTACTTTTATTGAAACACGATGAAAGCATTGTGTTTTTGAATGAAAAACTTGTAATCTACGATATGAATAGAAAGGTTGTAATTAAACTGTTTTCTTACTTAAAACTGTATTACAGTTTTAAGTATTACAGTTAACTGTATTACAGTTTTAAGTCATCCTAATTCTAACAATAACTAGAGTTGTAAGATATACAAATATATAAAAAACATACAAAATTTCGTCCTCTAGTCACTCCCTACAAATTACATTGCGATAAATATTAACTATATGATCTTCTCTAGTCTTTTCACTAGTTCTGTTATGCACCATTTTTTAATATTTTGAATCAACAGGCAGCGTTTACCACCTATATTCCGAACCCATATAGAATCTGCTAAAATAGTATTCAGCATATTTTTTGGAGGTATACCTAGACGATTGACAAAACGCGATTATAATTTATACATGACTACCATTATTATGGAGCCCATTAATTCTTTACGCTTAAACTTAACCCATCTCTGATAAAAATATACTCTGCTAGTATGGTATTATCTCAAATTACTCACACATCCCAAGCTTGGACTCTGGGGATTTCCTTTCATATATGCTATGTTCTGATTATGAAGGTACAGTAACAAAATATATATATTCTAATTAATTTTCATCGCCCCTAAAGAAAACTAAAATTATTACATGAAATGATGCCGGTGCTGAAATAAATTAATAATCGGTGTAGCAAAAGAGAAAAAACATAACAGCGTGCTAGATTAGAGAGGATATATATTAGGATATATTTCACGTACACGCTATTAGCCATTATTCCTTTAATTTATATGTTATAAATTGTAATTTGGTTTAAATAAACATTATTAATTACAATTACGTGTTCACAACCCGAGAGTAACACAAATTCCGAGTGTAACATAAATATGAAAGAAAACAAGTATATAATATATGTTTATAAAGGTCTTCTGTTGAAAAATTATTTTAGAACAATAAATTATGTTTACAGGAAAGAATTGTGTACCTAAAACCAGTTAGTATTCTCTTTTAAATTGGACGTGGTCATTATGTTTATACGTATCATTTTATATGTACGTATCAATATCATAATTTTATACGTATCAATAAAAAAAAATAAAACGTGGTAAGACATCGAGATTTATCCTAATTATGGAGTTTGGTTACAAAAAGATTGATTTGTTTTGTAACTGTGTTCCTGCCCTTGAGTATATTAATAGAATTTTTTTACAATTACACCAGTTGAGAGGTACGCATTCGCATGCAATCTGATCATTCTTTTGCATTTATATACTACTGTATCTAACTGTGTTTGCCAATGAGCTTACAAATACTAGTCTAGACTAAAACAATCTACATATACATGACACTAAAATCGGAGGCAATATCGTAAATAGAAAGAATATTAAATTTATTTATTTATTTTGAATTATATATAACACGAATATATTAATTCTAAGTTGTTATGTAAAAACTCTGAATTCCTTGGAAGTTCGCTAATTGGATTCCCTTTATTATGCCACCAACGCGATGTAGTTGAGCTGAGCTGAAAATGGCTGCTGGAAGTGGCCGTGGCTATTACCAGTCGTAATGACTTAATTCAATCATAAATATTAATATTATATCATATAACTAATCTATACAGTGTGCATTACGTCTTAACAAAAATTATTTTAAATGCTAGCAAATATCATAATATTTCAAATAAGATCATTTTTGTGTATGTGGCCGACATAATAACACGAAAAAAATGAGTTTCAGTGAACTCGTAAAAATACGAGATATTAAATTTTAAAATGACTGTCATTCAGAGAGGTGAGGGGTAAGACCCTCTTTGTATAATATTTCGTCAATTATCGGAAATCCGATACTAACTAACTTATTATCAACGTACAGTCAATACTTACTAAGTCTAGAAAGCTGATTCGCTAATAAAGTCATGCGAAGTCATAGGCAAAACCTAGTACAGAATTATGAATAATAAATGTAATTGAAGTAAGTTAAATTATATATCTACATTTTTAAAACTTACCAGACATATATACCTAATATTTGAATAATGAAACTAAACTGTAAAAGTTTAAACTCTTTATCGTAAAGATTCATTTTTAATTTAATGGGCTCTGATGATAATCCAAAAAAACTCCCACATTACGGAGAAAATCTTTTTGTAACGTTGAATACAATTTCGAAATATTTTAAAAAATGCTACATTGCTATATTTTAAGAGATTGGAAATACGTCATATTTTACATTTTTATTTACAGTTGAAGTAATAAATTACAATGTTATCATAGAGGATATCCCCAAAACTTTACAACTTTTAATTAAGACGCCTCATGGTGAAACTTCCAACCTCTTGTCAGTAGAATACGCCTGTATTTCAGCAACAACGAGTAAACTAAAGTTACCAAAAGAATGTTAATTTTGAAAACGGTTTGGTGTTAAGGAAGATTTTCACTAATTTAAAATTTTATCCACGAAAGAAACAAGTGTGATGAAATCCAGTAAATATCTATGGGACCAAATCCAGAAAAACATCTATTGCTTATAAAAGAAATTATGAATTTGATGCAAAATTTAAAAAACAACCTTTTTTACGTTTTGATAAATGATGAACATGACTGATGAATATGTGAAATGTCTGTTAAAGTTTTATTTCTAACCCTGCGTTATACTCTCAGGCTAGGATAAAAAACAAAGTTCTTAAAAGTGAATAAGTACCTACCTACTAAAGAACAGATTCATTACAGTAATGGATATTTGAAACTTTGAAACAAGTTTGTGTACAGTGATTTATCACAACTGAGATGACTGAATATATGCAGAATGTAAGACACAAATATTAAGCCATTTGCAAAAAGAAAAAAACGACAAAAAATATTTGAAGTCAATTTGTGCAGTCTTATAAAAAAAAATCGAATTAAGAAACTACGCAATATAAGAATTAGGAAAGTAAAAACATACTAGAGAAGCGAGAAAGGCCATATATCAACGTGACAACCGTTTAAAGGCGGAATATAAAGTTGGACATGAAAGAACATTTCCTACTAACACAAACGTTCGCTAGTCAGCGCAGACTAAAACTCGATAACTAAGTTTTTCATAGGGAATATATACATGTTCTCTTAAGAATATAGGATTTTGGGGAAGTATGGTATATATGTAGCAGGATTAGTGAACTTTTTCACTCATTGTGGCGTCAAAGCTCACATGGCAACTGGTTCACATGTACATATGTATCACATGTATATATGTAGTATCATTCTCAAATAAGTCAAAATAAGTACAAATAAAGTATTACGTTGTGAAAAAGTGTTGAATTATTCCATATTTTCACAATATCAGATTGTCTATTAGTTTCAAAAATGAGTAAGAAGTACATTATCAGTGTATCACTTATATTGGCAGAAGTAAACCGTGCTTTAAAAAGACTTCTAAGTGTTTGTTTGTATTGCAATAATAAAAATATAGTCTTGCGAAACATAAAATAAAAAGAAATATACAAAAAGACACATACATTGCTGGGTTAGTTACCCATTATTGTACATTACAATTATTTAGTATAAAAGTACTTACGCTTCAGATATAAGAGCCCTTAGCTTGCAGAACACCATGCCCAAACTATAAGGATACTGGTGCCAATACACGGAGAGGTCATTAGGTAGTCCTGAAACAAGGCACAGTTTATTTGATATTCCATTCTTCTAATATAAACTTTTAAAACACTTAATTACTAACTCTTTCTTAAATAATGTCTTAAAAAATATCTTCAATTATTTGTTATACTATCAAACTTTTTTATTGTTAGAAATTATTATGCTTAGGCTTAACATAAACTTTAGTAATCATGTTGACTGAAGAAACCAATTGGTGACTATCGGATATTCGGATTCTACCTTTCTAAATGTCTATCTCTCTATTTATATATACTTAACTTTTTAGATTACAATATATTGTATATGAAAAATAGTTAAAAGCTAAATGGATATATTTTTTTAAAAATAACTACCATCCTTCCGCTATGCTTTGCTAGGGTGTACATATACATATTATGCAAATAAGCCATTCACTTAAATCACTCTATTTAATGGTAAAAACTGCACGTAGTTTAAAAGAACTAAGCAAACAGAGAGCAGATGCGAATTAATTTTTACTGTGTAAAGATTTCAAAATGCGTATATTAGACATTTGGCGTTTTCATAAATATAGGAGTAACAGTTACCCATTCCTATTCTCTAAAATATAGTAAGTGAATTATTATTAGATCAATTGAATTAAATAAAATACATATTCTATAAATACATTCAGGTAAACTAACACTACCAGTATTTAATTAATTGTCTTTATTATGTTGTACATTTTCAATCCGAGTATCAAATTACATCAAGTTTCCCAACAAACAATGATAGTCTTACATTTCATTGATTGTTTAATAGCCATTACATAATAATGTGAATTGATACTTAGAATGTTTAACTGGAACTAAATCGGTTCTAATTTACAGCTAGGTAATCTTTTGTACATAAACATAATACTTCGATATTTATCTAGTAATATCGAGTTTATCTAGTAATAGAAAGTAATATTTAATATAATATTTAGACTATTAATTATTTAGAATAAATTCATTCTGAAATGTTTTCCTATTTCTAAGGTTGTAAAAGAGATATGAAATGCGAAGCTACCTATGTATGTATTATCTGTTTAATATATAGATAATGCTGAATAGTTTGTTGGGTTGTCGAACGCGCTAATATTTTGAACTTCTAGTTGGATTTGAAAAAACCTTTTGTACATAATCTAAGCCTTAATATATTAAACATATCAGTACAAACTTTCTTTAGGAATTGAGTAAGAAATAATTCAGAATCAACCCTAACAGGAAAAGTAGTAAAAGTGTACGTGCGATGCTGAGGGTCCGAGCATAAGGAATGAACCACAATTTCTTTAAATTGACCGTTTCGCATAAAACCTTTGCACTAGTTTACCTAGTTTAAAACTAAATTAAATAAAAACAAATGACATATGCACGTGGCAAATTTGATTATGATAAACGTTACGGAATGACAGAAACTGCCTAAAACTAGAGATTTTAACTCAGCTTATATGAATGATAATAGAATAGGTTTAATTTCATATAATCCGCTGAGTTTATAAGTAAGAACTTTCTCACGCTAAGGAAGTTACTGGTATTATAATGGTAATTATTACGGTATTGTTAGGTAACCGTTTAAAATAATATAATTGATGGCCTTACTATATTTTTTTAATATATTGAATTTATTTATTTTGATTCATGAAATTTAATGTTGTTTGTATAAAAATTTTGGGCCCGTGCTATAAATACCTAAATTAGAGAACAGCACATCTAGGTAGATACATAGACACATACATAGGTACATGGTATAAAATAAAGTCGCTTCCGCTGTCTGTTCGCTTAGATACTTTCAACTACGCAACTGATGTTAATGCAATTTTTAGCAAGAGATATAGATTCAAGAGGAAGATATATATGTACACCCGAGCCAAGCCATTTCGGATAGCTAGTATAAATATAAAATTTATGAAAGATACGATATTTTATGAATATATATATAAAAATTATATAAAATATTTATTTAATATAAAAAAATTCAGTTATATTTCGACTTGACCTCATGTTTTTGAGAGTAACAACCGTCATCTATGTATTAGAAGATATTCACGAACATCTCATCAGCACTTGTCGCTTAATATACTCATGGTCAAAAATGTTATCCCTCCTTACCCTGTAATTTCATGCGCCATGATCATATATATCGCTTTCGTTCATTAAAATTAGGACAGTAACGGTAATTCAATATTCACCTGTAACCTATACTAACATAAGGGAAGTTAGAAAGGGGATTGTTAGTAATGGGGTCTAGTGTCCCCATTGCTAGCAATGTACCATGCTAGGCCGACCTCCACGCGATTACCTCTGGAAACCATAGTGGTTAATTCGTGGTTATCTAATCACGACGGGAAAACTGACCTAACCTCATGCTGACCTTATCATCCTCCACTGGCACCAGCGTAAACTACTATAGTAGCGCAGGCGGTGCGTCATTCCTTTATCTTCCATGAAAAAAATATGTAATAAGGGAAAATTATGTCTTTTTGGGGATAGGGTATAATTTTTGAAATATTTGAAACGATAATAATAATTCTTACAAAAAATACATTAAACCTAAACGTATAATGTATACTTACTTAAACTATACTTCTTGTACTTAGAAGTAGCACGCGCGGGTAGCTTGATGTATATACGATATAATATTGCTAGTAGCAAATAATAGAGGGCCGAATTTATAAAAGAAATATACCTACAATGAACATCAATCACCTCACTACTCGTATTGAAAATTATGAAACGTTATTACCGAAGGACCCCGAGGGTTACCTTGATGACATTAAATTGCTCTTCGATTGGGCTTGTATTGTGTGATATAACAATTTGTAGAGACTAGGATTGATGAGCGCTCTCAAGTGACGTTATAAAATGTATTGTATATATAAAAATCGATATTATTCTGTTTGTTTGTATTTGAGTACTGCCAAACAGTTCATTCTAAAGCGACAATACTTTGTTAACTTATTGCTCTCACTTGCAATTTTATTTGCACTCATTGTAGAAGGATATAGGTAGGTAGCAGTCTTAGTGCAATTTTACCGAGGTAATCTGTACAAAGTCGTCTGTGAAGCCACCTCTTATTCATCTAATTCAGCCTCTGAAGCTTGCTTTGTAAGACGTGTTTCGATTGAAAGGGGAGAGAAACCAGTAAAATTGCAGAGCACGAAGGAATGATATCTTATTTTGCGGAATAGCAACCCATGAGATGTTCCCCGGGTATTATGTGATGACATGATGTCTCGAAATCTGAGTCTCTGTGTCAGCTAGACCATCTGATTATTTGCCATTTCACAGCTTCTACTCTGAGGGTAGGGATACCGAGTCTCCTAATTTACCTACGGGTTGGACTTCTTTCTTGCACTTACTAGGTTATAGGCATAGTAAATTAACTAAGATGCATGTCATACTCGGATGTACTTATAAAAATATATCTGTAATTATATAATACTAGCGAGACAACACAGATTTGTACAAGTACATGTAGATACTACTGACAGGCTGTGTGCGGTGAAATATTGTGTTTATATGTACATCTAAACCGTTTATTAGAAAATGCGTAGTTTACAATATCTAAGCGTACAGCAGGAGTGTTTACTTAATGTAAGCGAAAATAGGATGTGTTTAAAATTAGATACAAAAATATACTAACTAAAGGACACTTTTTATTGTAATGCAAGTGAGTATACCCGAGGTATACAGTATATTAGAATTATTTACGAAGCTTCATTAGAACTCGAGGGAATTTATAATCAATTTAGTACGAAAAGTTCAAAAATTGTTTTCATGCTTCGAGTATGTTCCTCGGGGAAAGTTGTTTAGAGTCACTAAAAGACTAATTTTGTGTAATCGCTCCACGAAATCTTTATTGAGGTAAAAGTTTGCATACGTACCCTCATAGCTCATTAGAGACAGACTATAAATAATTAAAACAGCTTAGTCATACAGCGAGGAAATGCAGCCATCTTGGGATCATTTCTTTCGCGCCAAACTTGTGACATAAATTGTGACTTACTTTTATTTTATATAATATAAATAATATTTATAACCGACAAAAAATATATACGAAATTTGTCACGCATTACCATCACAGTATGTTATCCTAAAAATTCCCCGAAAAATAAAATAACAAGAAAGCTAAAACTAGCTGTAAACAAAGTTACTTAATTCCGAGTATTACATAGAGGACTATTTTTGTTAGACTTTTTAGGAATTTCTATTAGTTACCATTCTTTATATTTTGTGAAGACCTGTTGTAAATAGCCTAATAAAAATGACATACATTAGATTTCGTCTTGTTATATTTATTCATTAAACACTTTTGATAATATTTTTACAGATCTATATTGCTAATAACATATATCTAATAAGTTTTAGAATAATAAACAATGTGTCATCTTAAATATAGGATTTATAGTATGCGGAACGCTTCTATTCGACCATTAAATGGACAAAGTAGCATATCGTTGCCAAGTTTCAAGTTTTAATATTGTAGTCTACGGTCACCAAGACTTTATTATATCTAAAAGTGGTCACTAAGCAGTAAAAGCGTACGAAATGCAACACTATCAAAACCTTGAGTTTAAAATGAATGTTTTTTTCTAGAGATACTAGAAACGTCTGATCTACAAACATAGCTGCGATCCTACTTTAAGGCGAGGACGATAAAGTGTGATATTATATGACGGGGCGGGATTTACTCTTAATTTCGTACGTCACATTTTAAAATCTAATATATCTGGTAATTAAAATAACCTCGGTGGTTTAGTGGTTTAGCACACCGCTTTACGTCCGATGGTCGCGGGTTCGATTCCTCGCACGGCACAAACATTTGTATTCACGAGTATGATTGTTTGTGTCGGTTTGGGAGTTTTCTATGTATAATATGTATGTATTTACGAAAACAAAAAATATATCTATGTATTTGTATCAGTTGTCTAGTACCCATAACACAAGCTTTAGCTAGCTTAACTTGGGTCTAGATGGCGATGTGTGAATTGTCTTGTGATTATTATAAA